TAGAAAAATAGAGAGACATTCAAGAAGGTGCCGTTATTATGGTGTAATCAAAGACAAAACATCCCTTTTAGAAAGCTGCCTTCCTTCCTTTCTTCCCCTCTTCACCAAATGTAGGTAAAACGAGGGGGAAAAAAAACACATCTAACATACCTGGGTCAGTAGCTGATACGATGGCACCAAAGAGGAGGCAGTCAGTGAAGTAGAAGTCTCCCCCAAGCTGCCCGGTGACCTTCATCAGTGCCACACAGCCGTACATGACGGAGCTGTGGAAGCAGAAGAGACAACAACTCGTACCTGCAGTGTAAGGAGTTCCCCAGGATCTGCCAATTTAACCCCTAAAGTTGTCCAAATATAGGAGAAGAATACCCTGAGAAGTTGTATTGCACGAGCTGAGCCTGGTGAAACACCAGGGTTTCGGACCAGAGAGCAGGACCATGAAATCCAAAGCACTGACAGCACAGGAGCAAAGCACAGTGCTGGGGAGGAGCTGGTACGACTCCTCTGCCAGCACAACACGGACAAAAAAAAGCAGCAGCTTGTGGGACAGACCATGACAATCACCTGGCAATTGCTTCACAATGCTTGATGTTAACACGTTTCAATGGAATGACTTTTCAGTTGGCCTGACTTTCAAATGTCCTAAACTTGCAGCCAGGAGCAGATAATGCAGGCACTGAGTTTGCTTGAATCCCCCTGGATCTCCGGTGGAAAACACCCTACGCAAGCCTGCACGTTGCTATTCAGAACGGGAATTATCTAGCTCCCTCTGTGCACACAGATAAATAATTTGAAACACAATCTGTGTTTGCTAGGCATCTGCTTCCAGCAAGTAAGGACAGGACATGCATTTACGATCCTGCTCTCTACTCGTGTGTCTCACACTTGTTTGGGCTCCGCTTTCAATAATTTCAAGTCAGTGCCTGTTTATTCTCAGGGATCTGCAGAACTTGCCTTGCCGTGCGTATAAGCAGTCTGTATGGGATACAGGAAAGCACTGTGCAATGAGGCAGCAGGCACACTGTGCAGCAGGAAAAGCAACGTTAGCTGCCCTGCTGAGTAGCCCAGGGATCCCCCCTGGCCCTTGCTGCAGGACAGAGTTCTATGTCCACACACAGCCCTGCCAAAAAGCCCGTCCGGCCACAACCTCTCACCCGATCATCAGGCAGGAAATCGCAGTGCCAAGAAAAGCGTATGCCAGGATTGATCCCAAGTTTCTGAAGAAGTGCCTCTAGAAGGAAAAAAAAAACAAACTGAATTACACTTTACTATTTATTTCAAGCCGTGCCAACAGATAGGTACCTGCACAGCACCCACAGCAACTTGTGCCTGGCTTGAACATTGCGAGCTGTGCGAGCTTGGCTGAATAATGCCTCACACAATGGCACATGCAGCCAGACCAGCACAGCAAATGCAGCACTAATACACATCATTTTCCTGTACTGGTGTATTGAACAAGGTGCAGCTCCGAGTCCTGGGGACTAATTCCTAACACAGCATAGGACCTCCTTCCTTCTCCCAGAGATAAACAGGATCATTTTCCTTTCCCTCCAAATCAGTACTTCAAAGAGCTGCTGCTTCCTAAAACCTTCCCACCTTCTCAAGTGTTTCAGCATTCCAGATGGCTCAGCTGGCCTAAAATACCCCTGCACAAACCCATGCTGGAAATGGTCGCAGTTGCTGACCCTTCCTGGGATGAGGGATGGGTGAGACCTACAGGGGCACTCTCAGCCCTGCCTCCTACCATCCTGCATGTACTAGGAACACCGTACCCAATTCTGCAGCCTTGGCCTGCTGCTGAGCAAGCATTAAAACTGGGGGCAGAGGAACTGAAAGTGTAGGCACTGTAAAGGCACGTACCCTTTTTAAGCTGTAGCCTGCATAAAATATAATTGGAGGAAGCAATATGTTGAAAAACACCTCAGGATCAAAAGTCACCTGTAAATAAATTAAAAAAAAAACAACAACAAAAAAAACAGTTAATTGGTTTGTTAAGATTTTACAGGACAAAACACAAATAATGACATAAGAAATACGCTGTACTCCCACCAGATGAAAGGCTGTGAGGCGAGTATGGAGGAATCAGGGCTCTTTCAGACGCACAACCCAGAGTTTAAACAGCTCACGTTACGATCAGCTGAACCTAGAGCTTCATTACGTTGTGTATTCAGCTTACAATTTATGGGACCAAAGTAAAAACATAAAAATGCAATAAAAAAAAATCACATAATGCAGCAGATACAGGATTTCTGCATTAGCATGCACCCCACGGAGCATCCCTCACCACGAAATCGCTCCCTTACCTTTCTCAGCATCTCATTATCCTGGACATTGTTGAGCTCCTGGGCGCTGATTTCCCCCTTCAGGGTATACTCGTAGAACTTGCCGCTGACGTTCACCAGCAGCGTGGCAGGACTGGTCTGCACCTGGCAGCTCAGCGTCACGTTGTTCACGTCGCTGGGGACGTGGATGCCGTAGCGCAGCACCACACCGACCAGGACACCTGGGGAGAGAGGGATGTGGGGTGAGACGAGCAAACTGCCGGGGTGGTCACTGTGAGCATCTGCAGCTGGAAGCCTGACAGGATCACGTGTCACCAGTACAGAAATGCACGAAACCTTTCCTTTTGGTAGGGGTTAAAAAGGTACCAGCAACTCATGAATGCTTTGAGGACAGTGAGCATCCTTCATAAGACGCTGTCTCAAACTGGGGAGAAGAGATGCACTCAGGCATTGGCCAGCACAGCAGAGATGGTTTTAGATTACTTTTCTGCTGTTTTTCTGATTTTTCTGGGGTCACTTAACCCCACTTCTGAACCATGTGTTTATGAAAAAGCTTGCAAACATGTGGGAGCTAAATGGAGATGGCAACACTCCGAAGGCTTCTCCATTTGCCTCCGAGGATGCTCAGGCTCTTCACTGCTGCGTTAATTAAAATCTCGCTTTGCGTTTTCCTAGGGGCAGGGCACAACCCGGACCAACACCAAACTCCTTCCCCATCACAGTCCTACAGGAGCAGAGAATGGGCACAAGCTCTGCTGCAGCAGGGATGGAGACCATGGGACTCACCCAGCACCTCCTGCAGCCAGTCCCCACGTGCCACCGGGCTTTCACCTGCTCTTCCCTTGAAAGCACCTTTCCAGGATGACATTTGCTCATTTCGCTGACAGCCAGAAGAAAAGCCCCCATCTCCCCTGCCAGGGGATGTGATGTGCAGCAGGGACACAGCTGGGGCTTAGCTCCTGTGAGCTTCCTGCCTGCTCCAGGAATAAAGTAAAAACACAAGGAAATGCGAGGCAAGGATGTCAGGAGCATCGGGGTGCCCCAGCACGGCTCCATTTAAGCACATGGCAGGGAGGTGTGTGACCACCACAGCATGGGGACAGAACACCCAGAAGATGATGAATGAGCTCTGAGATTCCATGACAGATGATCAAAACTCTTCACTGGGATAAAGTGAGCTTCAGAGGGTCCTTACATCTGCTTAGGACTATGAAGCAGCCTAAAACAGTTGCAGTGAGAGCACAGCGTAAAGTCACAGCCCCAAAAAAGCAGAAAACCAGGAGGCTCATCCACCGCCTACCCTTGCAACTCTGTTCCTACAGCCTTCTAGAGCTACCCCTTTCAAAAAAGTTGATTTTGGAGCTTTAGGGAAGAGTCAGAAACCTCCTGCAGCAGCTGCCTGTCTTTTCTCAGCTGTAAACCCACCCTGAGACACTTTTCAACATCAGGGCTCACCGCTTTGAAATGAGATGCCTGGCAAGGAGGAAGGAGGGAGAGGCTTTGGTTGCGGTTGGAAATTTAGAAGGGATTCTGACTCACCCACCTCTTGGCTCTTAATCCTTGTCCCACAGCAGGGCTACATCTGATAGCAGCCATGGTCGGCCTTGCCGTCTCGCTGCCCCACGCAGCTGTTCCCAGCCCTGCGTGCCAGCCATGCTCCGGCCGGAGCCGAATTCCCAGCAATGGGAGAAGGGAAAGGGGACGGGCAAACCTGCAATAACCGCCGAGACCACTGGGCTTGGGGCTGCTAAAATTTGTCTTGCCCTGCAGCACACGCAGAGCTGTCTGCACAAAACAGAGCTGGGTGGGAAGAGACATCTGCGTGCACAACCACATCCACGCGCACGCAGAGCACTCGGGCACCCAGTCCAAGCCAGCCTCACACCATCAGTTCCTAATGTTGAGACAAAACCAGAATCACCTAGAGGAAAAGCTGCAGGGTGCCGTGCCCGAAGCTGAGAGCTCTGGTGTAGAAACAGCCCCACCGTGGGCCTCGCACCGACCTTCCCCACGCACCTCCCGCATCAGGGAGCTGGCTGGCAGCACCTGGCACACACCCGAGCTGCTGGCAGGGTTTTTCAGCCCCCCAAACCAATCCTGTGCTAACGGGATCACGGCCAGAGCTGGAGTACGTCCTCTTGTTGCTGACAGCCTCTTAGGAAGTGGTTGGAACGCTCCTGGCACTCGGAGGGCTGCCCTAGCTACAAGCCGTGAGCCGCCCCACCGGTATCAAAATGGTTTTGCTGCCAAAAGTTTTACAAAAGTGAGCCCTGGGAGGGAGTTGAGCAAGGGAACCCGACACCAGGAAGCTGACAGCTGAAAGCTGCAAGGAGTGAGGAGCTAAAGGCAAAGCTGGAAAATTAACCGAGTTCTTCTATGCAAAGTGCAAAAGATTATTTTCATTGCATTTATCCCAAAGAACAAAAACCCATGGGCTTTTTTTTTTTTTCTGGTGCTACTGAATGCTTCTGAGCTAAGATTTAAAACAAAGACTACTATGTTACCATCCAGGCACTTAACAACAATGGCAGCACACAGGAACCCCCAGGCAAGCATTAATCCGGACACCAAAAGGGAAGAAAAACGCAGCGAGCACCTGAAAGCATCAGGCCAGCAGACAATCGGGATGTTTGCAACCCAGGGGCCAACCGGGAACCACTACAAGGAAACTAAACTTTTAGAGAAGCTCCTGCCACATCCACCACCAGACTCCGAGAAGAAATGAAACAAGACTGCTCATTTAATTGTCCTAAATGTTGAGTACCCAGGGTATGGGAACCTAATTTGAAACACTGAAATGAAGCCCAGGGGCTGCTGAACACGTATTGCCTATCACTGTGAAACAACTCCGGCTCTTCAACAACAGCTCTGAGCCAACAGTGTAATTTGTAAGGTAAAACGCCACCTGAAGCAACAGCTTGTAACTTGGGGTAAAAGCACAGGCTCCACAGAAACCCTGATGGATTTCAGCAGGAAGAGATGCAGAAGTTTTGACTTAGTTGCTGAGGTTTCTTTAATTAGAAAAAGGACAACATTTTTTTACCAATTGCTTCTTTGCCCAGATGTAAAGGTCTGTTTTGCAGGCTGCCTGCTGCAGCACTTCCACATTTTCCACCAACTTCCCCTGGGCTGAGAGCATCAGAGGGGACCAGGCATGGCAAAGCAGAAGCCGCACTTGCTTTGCTCCCGGCGGCTTGCAGGCTGCTGCTGTAAAACAAGAGCTCTCGCCAACCTCTGGGAACTAACACATCCCTCTGCCTATGGTGGCTGCTTGACCTGAGAGGGCGATGCCAAAAGCCTTGACAGCAGAGAAAAAGTCAGGGTTTTCCGCCTGACCAGGCGGGTGAGGTTCCTTATTTTGCCAGCAATTCCCTCAGTGCGGTCTGCAAAAGAGCAGACGGAAAAGATGCGTTTTAGGGATCATCGGGAGACCGAAATGTCACAGGCTGGGCTCTGGGACCAAGAGGGGCGCTCACATGGGCAAGGGACAACAAGGGGAAGACAAGTGCAGCAGCCTCACCGAGGGCTTGCAGGAATTTGTACACGCAGCCCAGTATTTTGGTTATATTTTGTGCCCCCGGGCTGCAGCAAGCTTCTCCACCCCTTCGTTCTGAAAGCCGCCTCCAATTAACTGAAAGTTAGGATGACAAAAGCCAAGGGCCTGAACGCACCAAGCCGCAGCCTTCAGAGCTGAGGTTTCTGCTGCGTGGGGAGCTCAGCCTCATTTCTGCTCCCACCGAGCTTGGTGGCACATCACCTGCAACCAGACTGGGGGAGAGAAAAAAGAAAGCAGAGATGGGGGCTGCTGAACACACCTTGTCAACCCCATATTCCACTGATCTCGCCTCGATAGGCGTCTGTGGCCACGTTAATCATTCCCCCAGCACAACTCCCAGCCCTACGCTGGTCGAACTCCAAGGCGCGCCAGGTGACCCTGGGCGAGCCCCGTGCGTTATCTGCTGGCCATGGCCAGGGCACCTCGGGAGGCCACTCCCGAGCACCTCAGGCGACAGCAGCCCAGCACTAAAACCCAACCCTCGATCCACAGCCCCGCTGCGGGGGAACACGAGCACCTCGCAGGGTGGGAGGAGGGACCGGGAGCCCCAAAAGGAGCTCAGGGGCAACCCCGGCCCCCTCCGAGCCCTCACCGTAGATCATGGCGAGCCCGGTCTCGTGGAGGAAGCGGGCGCGGCGGTGCTTGAAGAGCCAGATGGTGAGGATGGTGAGGGTGAGCAGCAGGATGAAGACCAGCAGGTTGGCGCTGTCCTGCCGGTGGCTCTCCTCCGCCGCCTTCTCGGACACGATCTCCTCCTCCAGCGCCCCGGGACGAACCTCCCCGCCCGCTGCCAGCACCCTCCGTGCCCACAGCCCCACCGCCAGCACCGGCACCGGGCTCAGCCCCGGGCCCCGCCGCGGCCCCGCCATCGCCCCGGCCCCGGCCCCGGCCCCGGCCCCGGCTCCGCCGCCACCAGGAAGCGGCGCTGGGCGCAGGCGCCGCCACCTCCCGGTGCCGGCCCCGTCCCCGGTGCCGCTGCCGGCCCCCTGACGCCATCAGGCGGCGCCTCGGCGGCGGGCAGGGCGGGCAGGGCGGCCGGGATGGCGGCGGCCTCGCTGTGGAAGGGGCTGGTGGGGCTCGGGCTCTTCGCCCTGGCTCACGCCGCCTTCTCGGCGGCGCAGCGTGAGTGAGGGCGGAGGGGGGGGCACCGGGAGATGTTGTGGGGTGGGGTTTTGGGGGGGGAAGCGGGGCCCGGTGCCCGGCATCGTGGGCGCTTGGGGCCGTCCGCAGCCGTGCGCTTGTCTCCCGCAGATCGCTCCTACATGAGGCTGACGGAGAAGGAGGACGAGACGCTGCCCATCGACGTGAGTGGGGCCGCGGCGGCGGTGTGGGGACGGGAGGGGATGAGGCGGCTCGGCCCGAGCTGCCCCCGGCCCACAGAGCCCGGCTGCCCCCGTCAGAGCCAGCACAGGGCAGGGCCAGGCCTCCAGCCCCTTCCCCAGCACCACCCGGGGACATCTCGCCCCAAGCCCCGAGCACGGCTCCTTCCTCACTCCCTGCAGCATAAACATCCTCCTCCCTCTGGCTTCTGCTGCCTGACATTTGTTTATCCGGCGTGGCTGTGCGCCCGTCTGAGCCCAGCACGACCTGCTTCTGCAAGGGTTTCTTGCTTTCTTTTTGTTTTCTTTTTTTTTTTATTTTATTTGGTGGTGGTTTAATTCCACTTCAATTATTATCTATCATGTTTTTGCTTAATCTGAAAGTTAAGGAGGTGAAACACCCACCATAACCAGGACGTTTGGACAGAGCAGCAGCTGTCACCTCTGCGCAGCACAGGCTGGCCGCTGACCCGTTTCTCAGAACGAGTATTAGATCCTAAAGTGCGCAAGAACAGGGTGTGCTGTCCCCCAGATCGCGGTGAGGAGCTGTGTGAGTCGATGCAGTGCCCATAGTACAGCCTGACTGCCCGGTGCCGGGAGCTCTTGGCTCTGCCACCATCTCCTGGTGCCATCTTTCCGTGCCTCAGTTTCCCTGCTGTTGAACTGCCCACCTCTGTAAAACACTTTCTGTCACTGGATAAAAAGTGAAAGAGATGCTGTTTGACAGATGAGATTATTTTTTTTTAAAGCAATTATATTTAGTAATCTAAATCTGTTTTCCCTCTCCTACAGATAGTTCTTCAGACTCTGCTAGCCTTTGCAGTTACCTGCTATGGGATAGTACATATCGCAGGAGAATTTAAAGATATGGATGCCACTTCAGAACTAAAAAATAAGTATGTTTTATTTCTTCTCTTCATAAACACATGTATCCGTTATGCTCTATGCAAACAGCACGTCTGCACAATAGCAGGTCTCTTTAGCTCAGCTCTTCTACGCATGTTGTAGACGTAACACAGGAACAGTCACATCTGGGAAAGCCAACAATGTGTGGGACATAAGACAGAGTTAGATAACCGGAAGAAATTAAATAAACTTTTTGCTTTTCCCCATCCAAAATCCTGCTGAGCAAATTTAGTAGAGGAATTAAATGTTTGCCTGGGAAGTAAGAGCTTAGCAGTCACAAACTGCTGTCATGAGATGGTCTCAGACCGCAGGGCAGTACGCCTGGCTCACCCTCTGTTGCACATTGCTTCTTCACAAGAGCCTGAACTACTGGAATCTTACAGTCTCAGTCAAGGCAAAATGTCAGATGCCTGAAAGATTTTAAGAAAATAAAGAATTTTGAATTGAGATTTTGGAAAGGATATGAAGCGGGGTTGGTAGAGGTAATCTTTCTGGCCATTCCCAAAAGGCTAGGGAAATATGGAAACTGAACAAGTTGGCATCGCTTACCTAAAACCCTTAGCTTCAGGCGTGGAAAGTGCTGGGAAGCTGACACTGTCAAGTTATTAACACAAGTGATGTCTGAAATAAGGCCGTCACATTTGGTGCGTATGTAGTTAGTAATTCTCAGAGCTGCCCTTAAGCTCAGGGAAGGAAAGTAAAGTTTGTCTGCAGCATGGGGCAGCTTCTGTGTATTGAGCAGTCAGTATTTGTCAGGCATCTTGGTTTTGTATCTCTTCTGTGACTTGGTTTAGGAGACTTACAAAGTGAGCATGTCTCCCTAAGCTTTGGATTCAAAACTTGTATTTCTGTGTATGTAAAAGCTGGTATACCCTAGACTGACTCTTTCCAAGCCCCTATTCTGAAGTAGTATTAACGTTGACTTTTTACCTTTATTTTGAAGGACGTTTGACACATTAAGGAACCATCCATCATTTTATGTATTTAATCATCGTGGTAGAGTATTGTTCCAGTCCCCAGACACAGTGAATTCTTCTTCAAACCAAGATGCTTTGTCATCCAGCTCGTCACTGAAATTTCGAAAACTTGAACCTCTGCGCCGCTAAGACTTTTACAGATTATAATAATAATACAGGACACTGGGATGTAATATTCAAGTCGGGGATGTAAACACTTTTTTTAATTTCTGGAGCAGTATTTATATTGATCTTCCAGACTTTATAAAGTATATATATATAAAATAAGGACCTTCTTTGTACACTGTTAATGGAAATGAATTGTGAATTGGCAATGCAGTGTAAATTATTCTACAATTATGCTGTGAAACACATCTTCAAATTTTCATATATTAAAAAAAGAGTTGTAGGTGACCTAACTTCAGATAAACAAAAACCAAGCTAGTTTTTACTGCGGTTACTGTTCTTTGATAAGAGGGAATGTTTGAGTGCTATTTATTTTCTCAGTTTGCTTGCACTACAGTTTATGGAACTCCTTCAGAAATACTGTGGGCACTTCATCACTTAATAGCAGAAAAAGGGCAGCGTCTCCTGTTCCTAAAATGCCTTGGAGACCTGCATGGTGTAGGCACAGGAAGTCAAAAGGTTGCTTTTATTTTTATTTTTTTTAACAATACTGGAAAATAGTTGTGTGAAGGTTGTTTTTTTTCTTAGTTTTTCATTATCACATTTAATTTCTTTGTTGCTCTCCTCTGTTTAAGCTGTCCTATGTTGCCCCAAGTTGCCTGGGATGTAGCTGTACAGTTGGTGGCTGTGTGGGGAGGGCAGCTCACTTCGGATCACATAGATCATCTTCTATGCTCAGCTTGTTTACCCACGCTATTTATGTTCTGTTTGGTTGTTCATATAGGAATGTTCCTCAGATGGCTGAATGGTGTGTTAGTACCTCAAAATGGCACTGGATACTAGTTCCCAAGTCATCTTCTATGAGATGTATTTAAGTATCAATAAGAAATGTCCCTTCTGTAAATGTTACAGGGGTAGGGTCCAGCAGCTGTATCTGTTTACTGTCATTAGTACAGTACAGGTAAACAACAAGTCATGGTACTAGCCCCTTTTCTGTCAACAGAGCCTTTAAAATTGATTTCATTTTCCAGCTGAGCCCTGCGTTGATTTAAGTTGACTGTCTTTGATTGTCTTAGGACGGATGATATGCTCCTTAGCTCTACTGGCTTCTCAATTCTGACCTCCACTTAGGGGCTGAATGAATGCTAATTTTTTTCTTGCTCTGGCATTTCAGTCCAGAAATGGAACGCACTTCTCCCACCTACCCGCTGTAGCAAAAGAGATGGTAATGATGGGGCCAACTAGAATTTTGCGTAGTCTGAGGATGTCCCACTGCCTCCAAGCAAATTCAGCCTTTTGTCCTAGCATCTGTTTTTTTAAACTGCTAAGAAGCGTTCCAGGCAAAAAGCTTAGCAAAAATACTGTGTTAAATGAAGCCTCTTTTTTTCTAGCTCTGCCCATCCTATGGAGTGGGTGTCCCAATGCTAGAGCAATATCCATAGCTGCTGCTCTTCAATCACTCTTAAGCAACTGGGTTTAGTTAGAAAGGGTTACTCTGCCAGCTGAAACCTGAAGTGTTCTGGTTCCCTCCTCCTAGCTGGTGTCACAAATCAGCTCATGACAACTGCTGTCACCAAAGGCCTCTGAAATCGTGTCAGGTCAGCTCTCTATTACAAAAAACTTTCCTTGGGGAATTGGGCTGCTGTGGTAGCAGTCGCTGCATGGAGAAAATGGCTGAACATCAGCCAGCGTCCTTGCAAGGCCCGGAGGAAACTGCAAAGTAGTGGAGAGAGGGAGAGGCAAGGCAGGAGGTCAGTAACCACCGTACCAAACTGATCCTACAACCATGGTTGGCAGGGAGCCTTTTGGAGAGGACTGCTCACCCGTAATGTCTAAGAAGCCCCATTTGTGCTACGGTAAGGCTGTGTGGACCTGCCCACGGTGGGTGATGCTGCTGGGTGACAGTTCTAAGTTATTCTTGATGAAAAACACTGCTTTTTCAGACTGTCGTGCTAGGAGCACCCTATTGGCTGCATCAGGTCTCTCTTGTGACAGGTAGCCTTACTCTTCAGCAGCAATGGTTATATCACAGAGCTGTACAAATTATTTTTTCTTATTGATCTTGCAATGTCCAATAAAAACTGATATCCTAAAAGTGTTTGGGAGTTGTCTGTTTATTTCTGACCTGGAGCCTGCTGCAGCAGGTCCCTGATGAGTGCATATTGAACAGTGCCTGCCTAGTATTGACAAGCGGGCTTGCCTTCCTTGTGGCAGCTCTGCATGAAAATGTGCGCCTGGCCTGGCATTCAGTACTAGGAGATAAGATCAGTACAGGGAATGAAAATAACGTGCTACAAGTGGCTGAACAAGACGCTCAGGCTGAAAATGTTACTGGCCTGGGGTTCTCTGCCTTTGCAATTCTTAGTCAACATACCTAGTGGCGCTGACATGGCTTCTGCCTTCCATTTAACCAGAGCTAAGGCTTTTCTACCATGCACTAATAATCCCTGGCCTACCCACAAGGACAGGCTGGAGCAAGGCCGGGTATTGCAACAGTTGCTGGGGAAACTGGCAGCAACCCCGTAGGGCTGGAGATAGTTACCATCGCGGCCTTGGGCGAGCTCATTTTTCACTGGCTGTTCTGCTTTTCTTTGGGGGGATGTTGGAAAGTTATCAAAGAAGGAGCTTGCTTAACTACGGCATCCATCATGATTGCACCACGAAGAAAGCAGCAGTCACCCTTCAACCACTTGCTGTGCTGCCACGGTTGTGTGCATCCAGCACTGAAGATGAGCGTGTAAAAACCAGTAACCAGCATCTTAAAGAAGGAGCACCTTAACCAGCCCCCAGAGGTGCACTGAGCTTACCTTGCAAAGCGTGAGCAGCGCAGTTCCTCACAGATAAGCCGCCCTTCTAAAGTAAACCAAAAGTTATGCCAACAGCTTCTTGGGTCAGCCTGCCTAGGAAGAGTTTCCAAGCCTGCCCAGCACGCTTTTGCTGCCATCATACCTTCAGCTGATTTGGCTGCAGGATGGGATGTTTCTACTACGTTAAATAGGAAAAAAACCATGCTGATAATTTGCATTTGTTGCTGATGTAGCAGGCTTGATCTGCCTTATTTTTGCTGGTTTCTCCAATCCTCTCCAGCCAGCGTCACTTTCAGTGGGGAATTTGTTTCTTTAGAGGGAGCAGGAGAAGCTCAGCCCCCGACCAGGCTCAGCGCCCAGAGCCTCTGCTTTGGGGAAGAGGTCGGGGAGGGCTGAGCTGCAGCCCCTCCTTTGCCAATAACTTCAATTACACACATTAGTTTCCAAGCCTGGCAGTCACTGAGGTGTTTACCCTCTGTGCAGCTCCAGAGATGGAGCGCACTGGAGCTGCCTGCAGTACAGGGAAGCAAAATACAGCCGTGAGCTCAGTCAGTGCTGCTCTGAAGGCCGAGGTGTGCCTTCTCCCCGCTGCTGCAGAGCTCTGGCTTGAAGCCTGCTGGTGAAAGCTGGAGGCCAACCACCCCTTCCCAGAAGCTCACAAGCACAGGCACAGCTCTGCCCCTGGAGAACACAGGGAATGGTGATCGCTTTCTGCTCTGAAATGATTTTTGGCCTCCTGCTCTCACTTCCCATGCTTCGGGAAGCCCCTCTGGCCCCAGGGGGACAAGGAGCCTGCAGCGCTTCCCAGCTGTTCCCAGCCCATGCCTGCGTGGAGGGGAAGGGCCCAGAGAACCTATTTTGAACCTTTAAACAATCAGAAAGCTTTGGTACCAGCTTTCCTCAGCCAGAGCTGGTAGTGAAGGCAAAAGTCCCCTTGGCTGGCTTGGCCTTGAGGTTCACCTTGAAGCTGTAATCATCTGGGGGAGAACCACAGCGTGAATAAATGCGGTGCTCGAGCAGGTAAAAGCCTTTTAATCAGTCCCACATTGGTCTCAGTGACACGATGTCATTTCGAAACACTTTGGACTGCAACAAAAAGCTATATCCTTAAAATGGCAGCTAATTAATTTTCCCGTCCTGCTCACTTAATCCTTTTTCCAGCCAAGAAAAGGCAAGTGGGCGTTCACGAAGCGGCGAGGCGGCCAGGAGCCTGGCAGGGCGAGCAGGAACGTCTGTCAGGACACAGCCCCAGGCCGCCTTGGCAGGGGCCCAGGCTTTGCGGTGTCACAGCTTATCAGGCCGTTTTCAAGGGAAGGAGGGGAAGAAAGGGTGAAATCTGGATGAACACAGCAGGGGTTTGTCCCAGGCCAGCGGTCCAGGGGAACCCCCATGCCCCCCACGGGGACCCAGCTCACTTTTCCCTCACGTTTCGGGGCCGGACGGAGCGCCTGGTGCTGGCAGTGCCCTCCCTGTCCTTGCTGCTGCTGCTGCACCAGTTTCCCAGGGATTAGCCAGAGGCACAGCACGCTGCGGGAGGACTTCGCTCCAGATTTAAAAGAAAAAATTCCCCCTTCCCCCTCCAAGGTTTTTCAGCCGCGTGTTTTAGAGAAGCTGAGGGCCAGCCCCGCAAGGCCAGCCTGGACATCCTGCAAGGCCCAGGCCAGCATCCTCTGTGCCCCGGGGGGTCTCTGCTGCAGTGCAGGAACTAACGAGTGCCTGGCCAGCCGAAAGTGCTGAGGTGGTGATTTACGCCCTTGTCCTGCGCACACAAGTGCAGAAAACAGACGCTTGCCTCAAAGAGCGGTTTTGGAGGAGACAGGTCAGCAGACATGCCAAAAATCAGCTTGCAAAACCCCCTCGAGGCTTCCTCGCTTCCCCACAGCAGCCGTGCAGGCTCAGCTGTGCTGAGGGCAGCCCTGCAGGAAGGCAGCAGCTCCCTGTGCAGCGCAGAGGGCAGGGAGGGGAGAGAAAAGACCACACAACCTCCCCTCTGATGCAAACAGAGCTCATTTCTTCCAGCATACCTGATCAGGAACAGCCTGCAGGGCTTTCTCCTTTCTGCCCTTGCTTCTCACACTCAAGAGGGAACTGCGGAGCTTCGAAGGGCTAAAAATGAGCCTCAATACCACGACGTGCCCAGCAGCCCTGGGACACTCAGTGGGGATCAGCTACCACACAAGTTAAGACAGGAGCACTGAAAAAAACGAGGTGAGTCATTGCAGATGTGGCTGCAGAGGAGCAGAGAGGAGGCCGGGTGCCCAGCACCACACACACCCCGCTCACCATGCACTGACCCCAGCCCCAAGCTGAGATCGTGCCAACGGCCTCCCCCAAGATGCAGCCTGGGCTCAGGTTTCTGCCTCCTGAGGAGCTCCCGTTCCGCACATTTGTATCCAAGGATGAACAGGGCAAAGCTTTAAGGGGCATTTTCAAACCCCTACTGGTTTCCTACCGTGACAAGAGCAGTCCCGTGAAGTCAGAGCCTCCTCAGGGCCCTGTTGCATGCACTTCTGGAAAAAGCCATCCCCCAACCTACCCAGCAGCAGTTTCCTTTCACAGCCCGGCCGGGATTCACCAGCTTTACCTCAGGGGAACACTGCCCGTCCCCAGGAAGGAGGCAGCCTGGCTTCCCTCACCCCATCTCACCCACTCCGGGGGCAGGCCCCCACCTCCTATGCCACTAATGACTGCTTTGGATAGCGGCTTCCACACCCGGCCCACTTGTTGGCAGAGGGAAGAGCCCTGAATCTGGGCACACCAGAGGAATTTAGAACACACTTCTGCAATGGCTGAGAAAGACAAGGTGCAGAGCAGCTCAGGTCAGAAACCAGAACTCGAGTTTGAAGATGCGGTAGTAACATCCCCAGCACCTACGGGCTTTGGCCACGTCTCCACAGCCTCCTCCCGACCTCTTTTTGAGCTCCCACTATTTTCCAGCTCCTGAAGCACACAGCCAGCCCACAGCAAGACTGCAGGGAGGAGCCCACCGACAACACGAGCCCAGCAGCCAGCAGGCTGCTTTGTGGTGGGATTTTCAACACCAGAGAAAGAATTCAGCGTACAAGACCAAATTAGGGCATGGATTTTATAACCATCTTTGCTAGTGAGACACTGTGTGACCTTGGGTAAGTCCCTCCATCCATCTTTAAAGACACTCTCAGAGGAGTGCCACAACACTAATTAGCAGCCCTACAAGTGCTCGAGACAGTTTGTCCAAAATACCCAACCGCAGATGAATTGGAACAATCCCATTTCCAAATTCTGCAAGCAACTGGGATCCAGGCTGCTCTCAGATCAGCCACTTAAACAACATAATCAAAGCTAAACGTGCCAGCTGTGCATGAAGGATTTTAATACGCTGCATGGACCAGAAATTAGCCTGAAGAACTAATGTTATTTTTCCATGTCTGGGATGCCACAGTCAAGCAGCTGCATTATAACCATCTGCAATCAGCAAAAAATTTATTGCTTGCTAGTCTTGGGGAGGAACGCTCATTTTATTTCCATCCAACTTACAAAAGCACCCTGGAATCCTGAGGCACCCATTACCAAGAGATCAGGCAGCTACTACGGCAATGAAAACCGCTAGGTCTTCTGCGTTCTGCAGTTAAAACCCAATTATACAGACAAGTTCCTAAGCTTCCCAAGTTATGTACACAGTAACGGCTCACGCTACCACCACCTCAGGAAATAACCCAGCCAAAACCTAGCTCTGGTTGCCGGTCACATACCCAAAGCTCCCCGCGGTCAGCGGGATGGCTCCGAGCTGTCCCTCCCTGCAGAAGACCTGAGCGCAGCCTCGCTTCCTTCTCTGCACAGCTGCAAGCTGAAGCAAGAGGGGAACCTTTCCAACTCCGCCCTTTCCAAAGGACTGCACATCTCTTTGATATGTTCTACGTATTAAATATTTACAAATAAAATATAACATTAAAATATGCACGTACTTTGACAGAGTGACAAGAAACAGGCGGACCACACGGAACAAGCTGTGCCCTTTTAACTACCAAACTGCTTTACAAACCCCTCCTCCCTTCCACTGTCCTGTGAGGCAGTGAGTATTTTACAAGTGGGGCACAGCATCCAGATGCCCTCCTTGCAAACAGCTTTCTGTCGCTCCTAGCAGCTGCTCAGCACTGGCGAGTGGGGCACCGGCACACAGAACACTGCCAGAAGCGCTCAGTATTTTTGGGGACATCTCGCAAGACTGCTTGCATCAGAGGGATGATAGGGATCGAAATGACAGCAAGCATGTATAAACGCCAGGGATCCGGCTACTTCCACCGCTGTT